GCGCGGAGGCAGGCCGGGCTTCGGGGCAGCCGGTGCAGACCAGCGGCCCATCACGGAGGGTGCGGGCTCCACGGGGAGAAAGCGCGCAGGCCTGGGGGCGGGCTGGCGGCATCCCGGCGTTGCCAGCCCAGCCGCACACAGGAGGCGGCGGTAGTCAGGGAGAGGCTGCGTTTGCCGGGAAAATGTCTGCTGGCTCTGTTTCACCGTTTCCAGTTTAAAAAAAAAACGATGCAAACTGATCTTCACTGAGAACACGGTGCTCTGGGCACTGAGAAATAACCACTCTCCTCGGGCTTGGCTCTTCCACACCCAGGGAGTCCTGCTGACGAGCAGAGAGGGACCTTACAGCAGTTAGCCCGGGAAAGGGAAATGTCTGTTGTGACGGAAAGTGGGGCCTTGGCGTGGACCGTCCCCAGCGCTGCCCGGCCTTGCAGGCCAGTGCCCCTCACCATGCTTGAAACCTCTCCCAGGAAGGGCTTCCCGAGCCGAGATTCACAGTCGGGGCCCCTTGGACAAAGGATGCTGAGACAAATGCGTGTGCCTGCTGTCCGGCCAGGACTGGACCCCCCGGCCGTGCGCACAGCTGCCTCCTGTGAGGTCGGTTCACCGTGCAGGCCGGCGGCCACACTGGATGCTTCTCATTGTGACTCCCTCTGGTTCAGTCGGACAACCTCAGCCCCAAGTCCTAAAAGGCAATCTTTTTAAGCTAATGACTTCAAAATATTTTTAACGCAATGGCCCCCAGAGGTTGTCGGAGCCCCCCAGCAGTACGATATCACGCAGCCGAGGTGGTCAGCGGTGCGTCAGATGCCACCACGGTGGCCGGGGGGCACCAGTGACCACACCTGCAGGTGCACGTACGTGGGCAACAGCTCTGTTTTTCACAACTCTTTTCAGTGAACAAAAGCATGAAGTTTTTCTCAACCTATGTAAATCAGCTAAGTGGAAAGATGTGTAAAATTTCAATGCCCACGGCTTTTCTGTTTTGTCTTGTAAAAGTTAACCTGCAGGTCAGTCAGGCCCAGGGAGAAAGCTCTAGAATCTGAGATCACCGTGGAAACAGCTGCCCCGCTCTGCCACTCCTCACGGCCTGCTGCTTCTGTTTTGTAGGTGGTCTTTAGCAAGTACTGCAACTCCAGCGACATCATGGACCTGTTCTGCATCGCCACTGGCCTGCCTCGGTGAGTGCCCGGCGGCGTCCCCGCCAGGGGGACAGACGCCTTCACATCCACCTTGAGGGGAAGGTACCTGGGAGGCGAGCCGCTGACTCTAGGGGACGAGCAGTGGGGAGGAGCCCAGTGCGTTCAGCTCCCACCTTGCACGTGGGACCTTTGAAACTGGTGAATGAGACCCTGGAGGTTTTGGCCACAGCTGCCCCCTGCCCGCCAACAGCCTGGGCCATGTGGAGGGAACGGAATTAGGCAGAAACTAGTCTTAAGAGTATCTTTTTTCTTTCTTTCATTTATTCCTTTGCTTTGAGACAAAGCATAAAGGAGGGTGATGATGTTTGGGCTCTGGTCCCTCAGCCCCAAACCATCCAGCAGGGGTCTTTTCTATCTCAGTGAGCCGTAGGGTCATCACAGATCAACGTTTAAGAAAAGACCAATGTCAGAAATTAGGTTGAAAAGACCAGGAATCTACCTTACAGAACCATAAGAATTCCAGAGGAGTTACCTTCCCAAATCAGCAGTTTGTTCGAGCAAATAGATTTTTCTCTCCTAACTTCCCAGCTCTAGAGGGTGACCCGGAGAAGCTTTGGCCTGCAGTTAACTTTAAAGTTATGCTCCAGGTCAGGAGAACGAGAGGGAAGGACGGCAGGAGGCTTTCAGAGTCGGCTGAGAAGAAGGAGACTCAGGGATGAAATGACGGTCTGAAATCACAGCAGGTGGCAGTTCGTAGCCGCAACACACAGCCTACAGCTAGGGGCGTCTTTTATTAAGCATTTATTTTAAGAAATAAATACATACGATTCTTTAGACCAGCCCTGGGATTCAGGTGTCACCCCCACTGCACAGATTTTAAACCCACAACTGAAGACGCAAGAGCTAAGTCACGTGGGGACGACGACACCTCGCAGGAGGGGCCGCCAGGGACGAGGGCGGAGGCAGGTTCAGCCTCTCCACGGAACCTGCCCTGTGGGAGAGGGTATGCCTGTTTCGGTGGGCTCCCACGGGGAATGGAGGAGGAAGGCAGACCCTGAATTCGTCATTGGCTGATGGAAATAGTCGCTTCTACTTTACCAGTTTTATTTAATCTTCCAAATCAACAAATTAGACTTTCCAGTTCCCATATTAATGACCCACGCGTTGACAGACTTAGGCATGCAGCCACTTGCCTTTGCCTCCAACTGGAGTGCTGGCGTCCTGGGGATGCCTCCTCACGGCCCTTTGGATGGGGCGGGCCTGGTGCCCGGCGCCTACCTGCGGGAGGCCCAGAGTCGAGTGTGCACCCAGGGGACGGCCACGGGGTGAAGACACCGGCTCTCCCTGTCTTCCAGGAACACGACCATCTCCCTCCTGACCACGGACGACGCCATGGTCTCCATCGACCCCACCATGCCCGCCAATTCAGAACGGTAAGCGGCCGGCGGGACGGCCTGCTCACGCTCGTGGTGTGTCTTTCGCCTCCCTGCCCACGCGGGAGGGCCTCCATGGTTGTTTCTTTAATTTACGGCGGCAGGAAGATCTGAATTTAACCGAACATGGGAGGGTGGGGCTGGGGGGCTCTGTGAAGGGGGCTGTTGATTCCTTTGCAGAACTCATCCCTTTCCAAGAAAGTAGCAGCTACAAGACGGGCAGGGACCTCCCCAAGGGCTCCACGTTTGGTTCTCAGCAAGAGCCCTAGGAGGCATTTACAGATGGGGAAACTGAGGCACTGAGTGGGCTGTCCCACCACCCATCAGAAAGGGCTGCAGGAGATTCCCTGAGCAGACCCCCTGGGCGACCCACGGGGGCCAGTCCTGGAGCTGCTCCGCCCAGGACAGGAATGGGGGGGCTGGGGGCCCGAGGAGCAGAACCGGGGGAGGCCTGGTGGGCGAGAGGCTCAGGCAGTAAACGCTTCTGTGAATGTGTGTGAAACCAACCCAGCCATAGTAGCTGGAGGAAGGACAAGGACTCCAGTGGGTGCCTGGCCCCTCTGCCCGGCTGCCCGCAAGGTCCCCAGCGGTCCCCTTCATACTTACAGCTGGGCCGGCAGAACTCAGACGGGGTCCTCTGTAAGCCGGGGTCAGGGCATGGCTGGGGGTGGGGTGCCCCTCCCGCTTCTCCCTGAACCCCCCTCTGGGGACACATGTCAGTCCAGCCATCGGGCTGTGCTGCCCAGCTGCACCAGGCCAGCTGCCCCTGCAGAGCAAGCGTGCACCAGGCAGGCCCCTACACGTCCCAGCCACTGAGGGGCCCTGGCTGCCTAAGGGCAGCAGGGAAACATTTGGGCTCTCTGTGATGCGGTGGCCTGGGACCTCTGCTGTAGACGCCCAGAAGGGTCCCCCACCCAGGTGTGTGCGCCCCTGAGCACCTGGGATGGGCACCTGCTCTCCTTCCACTGCCCCTGGAAGCTGCTGTCAGCCATCCTCGCCAGGCTGGGTGTGGGATGCCCCGCACGGGCAAGGGCACAAGACCGCAGGAGCACTGCCAGGCTTCAGCGGGTAAAGCCAGGCAAGCCACAAACCCTAGGACGTCTCAGCAGCCTCCGCTGTCCTTGGAGCTCGGCGGTGGGCGGGAGCAGTGTCCTTCCCCGCGCACCCGCGGCCAGGCCTCCTCCCCTCCCGCTGCGCCTGTCAGTCTCCTGAATTTTAATTTCGTCATCAGGAGCTTCTGCCCTGAAGCTCTGGCTCTGATGATGCTCAGATTATGGGCTCTGGGCCCCGGAAGGAGCCATGCTGATTGAATCCACAGACACTCCAGTGAGGGTGTTATAAATTACGGCACAAGCTCCGACCTGACCCGGATCTTTATTCATAAGGAAGTCACAGGCGAGCTGTCACCCTCGGCATGCAAAAGATGAGATGCTGTCGTCAGAGGGGAAGCGCCCCGTTGTACAAGCCGGCCTCTGATGGTGCAGACCTGCACTTTTCCTGAGTTAATTTCAACAGTTTGTGGTTTGTTCCCATTCTGTCCCTTCTTCATGTCTGGTTTGGCACTTTAGTCTGTGCCAGCTTCCAGCAGGGGGCCATTTTGTCCCCAGGGAGACACTTGGCGAAGTCTTCTGCAACAGGGGGCGGGGTCTGCGGGTACCCAGTGGGCAGAGGCCAGGGCTGCCACAGGTCCCATGGTGCCCAGGACGGCCCTGCCCGAGACTCGCCTGCCCAAAATGTCTGTGGTGCCGAGGCTGAGAACCGGTGTGTGTGGTCAGCCCCCTTTGTCTTCCCAGAGCCGTCAGCCTCCTAACCCAGCAGGTCGTGTGCACCCCAGGGGCTGGTTGAAGCAGGCCCCCCCGCCCCCGCCCCCTCCTTTGTCTGATAGGCTGCGCCTTGGGTGGGCGCCCGGAACTGGCATTTCTGCCGGGCATCCCAGATCCCGTTCGTCGGTGTTCCTACCCCCGGGCTTCCCCTCCTCTCCCTCTGTCTGCTCTCTGCATTTGAGACCATCGACCTTTTTCCATTTGGGGAGCTGCCCCCTCCACCGACTTCTCCCACCTGTGCCTGCTTTCCCCGCCCTCGGCCCGTGAAGGGCGACGTTCTCCGAGCTTTCCCGCCAGCCCGCTCACCTCGCCCTCCCGCGAGCTACCTGAGCCCCAGCAAAGCCTCCCGTCTGCTCCGTCCGAGTTCTCCGGCTCCACATTCCAGCTGCCGTGGGTCCCCCACTTCTAAACACGCAGTGTAAACCAGTCCAACCCACTCAGCAGCTGGCAGCCTTGCCTGCAGGCGGAAACCCCCGGGACCTTCCTTCAAACGATGCCAGCACCCAGACGCCCGCGGGGACCGAGTGCCTGCGGATTTGGGGGGATGTTTCTAAAGCTCACCGGGCGACGTGCGGCCCGGGCGAGAGTCACCGATGTAAAGTGGAGAAAACCCAAGCAGCTCCTCCTGAGCCCAGGCTGGTGCCTCGTCCGTCCTGCAGCGGCCGGAAGGTCACGCCACCAGACACGGGGTTCCCCTTCTTGAAAAGTGCCGAATCAGCTTTGTTTCTTCCCAGAAGATAATCAGGTCGTGTCCCTTCAGCCTCCTCCCACCGAGGAGCGGCAGCCCCTCCATCCGCAGCCCCGTCAGCACCTGCCCCCGAGCCTCAGACGCAGAAGCCGCCGCACGAGAGGGGCTGTTCTGCGGGGGCCGGTCCTCCGCCACGCCGGCTTTCTGCCCAGTTCCCGCCCACAGGAGGGGCTCCTCGCGGCCTCCTCTGCAGGCTCCAGGGGCTCTTGACTGCGATCGCCTGGATACTGATCAGAAGTCGGGTCCCATCTCTTATACCCAATTGTTTTGGTTCATTTCAAACCAAATATCATGACCTACTGACTCTCCCTTCAAAATACTTCTTGCCTTAACAATCAGGGAACGTTCAGACTGGTATTTTAAAATAATCTGGGACATATTTACATAAGTCAGTGGGGCTATAATCTAACAAGGGGTCGGGTACCTTCCACTCCCTTTTGGAGCTGGGAAGGAAGGTGGCTTGAGTGTCCGTCAAGCCTGATTCCTGCAGATCAACAGACACGCGTAGACACATCCCAGCTCTGCTCCGGCCGTGCTCAGAGGGACTGAGCGTCTGGTCCAGGTGCTCCCTCCGGACAGGGGACCATTCTGGGTCCCGCGGTGTCCTACTGACCTATGTGTTGCATCTTGACGACTCCTTCTGCTTCTGCCACGACGGCTTCAAGACCCTCACGGAAGGAGGGAAACAGACACTGAAATAGCGCGAGAAAAGCTGGGGCGCGTGGCAGGGCCCGGGGGTGGGGGCCAGGATGACACAGCACACACGTGACAAACACCAGTGCCGCTTTATTTCCGATTTTAGCTCAGGTGTGGTACAGGAAGCTCTCCGCCGGGTGAAGTGACCGTGCGCTCGCAAGGACAGCGTGCTCGGCCATCCGCTCAGCTCAGGAGCAGTGCCCCCGGGTTCTGGCGTGGCTCCCACTAAATGTGTCTGAAAAAGAGGCCTTTGAGCCAGGCACTTACATTTGGAGAGAAGACAAATGCAGTCGAAGTCCCAGGCAGGCGGAGAGTGATTTATCTCCGCTTTGTGGTCGAGGAAGAAATGAGGAAGATGCAACTTAATTTAGGCTGAGCCGGGAGTTTAGTCAATCGTGGAAGCAATAATACGGTCCTGAGAACATCCTGTTGCTCAGAATCAAGAGGATTAAGGAGCGAAGAGCCAGGAGTAATCTTGAAGGGCCAACTGTCATCAGCGCCTCTAACGGGAGTTGCCGGACACAGCTCTGTGTCTCCCCATCCTGTGCAGGCGACACTGTCCTCCGCCTCCCGCACCCTCTGCCCCGCCACCGCCACCTCCCCACAGCACCCGGCCTGCGGGGAGGAGGGGAGGAGAGTCCTTGTGGCCGCAGAGGAGAGGGGTGAGAAACGGGGGGTGAGGACGAGGAGGGGGCCCTGTGCTCCCCTCTCTCCACCCTCTGCCCCTACATCAGTGCTGCTTGTGGTGGGAGGAGCCTGAGGGAGGAGAGAGAGGCGGTGACGGCCACCGCACCTTGGCTCTCCACACCCCTTGCCCCGGCGCCCCAGCACCCTGCTCCTGTCCTGGGCGGCACCAACAAGTGCCCAGAGTCTGGCCTCTGGACGCCCGTCTGGTTCGAAGCCAGCTCACCCATCGCTAGTGGGTTTCAGCGAGGCCCCACCCTCCCTGAGCTCTGGCTCCTCGTACCTGCAATTAGCAGGGCTGACAACCGCCTGGAGGATTCGGGGAGGATGGACTTGCCCTGCCAGCACATCACTGTGAGTACCGAGGCAGCCAGTACCACCACGGGCTGAGCGCCTGCCCCACCCCAGTTGGGCAACAGCCCCCGTGGCTCACCCACTCTGCAGGTGGGGCCACACTTCAAACCACATGGATTCAAAGTAAGGTGTTCCGCCAGGAACCAAAGTCCCAGATAACCAACTTCCAGAGACCTTTGGAAGAGGACCTTAACCTAACTAAGCAGGTGCTCATGCAGGGATGGGCGGGCGTGGACCCCTTCCTCCACGCGCTCTGCCCAGCAGGACCCCTCGTGGGAGAGGCAGGACTCTAGATGGCCACAGGGTTGTCTGCCTGTCATTCATAGTGCTACACTGTTTTTATTTTTATACTTTATCAGTGTTTTAAATTGTCAAAACCCTTCCATGTGGCCTGTAACCATTAAACCACTGGTATCACCCTCAGTGAATCAGTTACCAGTTCGGTGTTTGGTGTGAATCCTTCCAGACTCCCTGACTTTCTCCCCAGCTCTAAGCTCGTTCTGCGTCTGTGGCTCTGTGACTCGCTGAGTCTCCTGATAACATGTCACGGGTACCCTCCGCCTCAGTCCTTGCACACTTACCTGCAGCGTGTAACAACCGAATGACACTCACGGAACAGCTGGTATGTCATCCAGCCCAGGGGGAGAGGGGCCTGAGTACACCTTAGCCACTCTGAGAGCACTTACCGCGTCCTTCCGACACGTACTTGACCGTGGGCGTGGGTTCCAGGAGGGCAGGACCTTCTTGCCTGGTTCACTGTTGTGCCACCAGAACCTGATCACGCGAGCCCTCTGGGGAAGCTGTACTCCGGCAGCGCTGGTGAGAACCATTGTCTGTGCCTTGAGCACTCCTGTTACCAGCTGCTAAAATTTTGCTAGACTGCTGAGTGTAAAAACAAAAAAAACAAAAAACAAAAAAAAACACTTTTTCTTGATTGAAGTGCTGTCAGTTGCAGTGTCAGTCTCTGGTGCGCAGCACAGTGTCCCAGGCATGCGAGCACATACGTGTGCTCGTGTAAGTGCCTTTCTTGAGGTGCCTCTTTTTACTTTTTTTTTTTTAGCTGTTATCAACTCTTAGCAGGGAGGGTGTAGCTCAGTGGTAGAGGGCGTGCTTAGCGTGCAGGAGGTCCCCGGTTCAATCCCCTGTGCCTCCATTAAAATCAACAAAAAAATAAATAAAACTAATTGCCCCCCAAAAAAAACCTTATCAACTCTTGCCTATTCCTGTTCTTTGCCTATTTTCCACCGACTTCCTTGTCTCCCTCCAACCTTTGCTGTGTCCCCAGTATCTTCTCCCCACCCCTGTGGGTCTCACGACTGCAGGGGGTGACATGGCCAAGGTGCCCGTGCATTTTCGACTGAGTTATTGACACCTCGGCTCTTGTGCCCTTGGGAGATGCCGTTGCCAGGAGCTCAAACCAGGCACGAGGGGGGCGCCTCCAGCATCCATCCATCAGATGCTGGGCCAGACAAGGGCAAGTCTGAGCCATCCCAACCGCACTCAACAAGTTTTTTTTATTAACCAAATATGAATATGATAGAGGAGGTCCACCGCTTAAATGGTATATTTAAAGTATTTAGAGTTCTTCTGAATGAGGAATCTCAGAACAGCCAAAGAAACTAATTTTTAAAAGACCTAATTCGCTGAATTCTAATTCACCCCGAGCGCTTATCTCTTGTACCAGACGGACGCGAAGGTCTCTGACAGCATCTCACAGTGAAACTGCCTTCTCTCTTGCAGGACCCCCTACAAAGTGAGACCCGTGGCCATCAAGCAACTCTCCGGTAAGGCGCTGCTAGCATTTTTTAAATTAAAAGAGAAAAATGGGGCTCCAGGCTGCCCCTGTGATTGACTACGCATGAGCTGAGCACTGGCTCGGAAGCCTGTCCTGTTACAGAGCCTAAAGGCGCCGACTGCTGCAGGGGCAGCCGTCCTCAGCCCTCCGCAGTCCCAGGACGTCCAGCCCCACCCACGACCCGGTCCTGGCCACTTAGCAGACCCGGGAGATACCCTGCTCTTGTTTCCCGGGGCCCAGTGCCTTATCCTGTCCACTCAGACTGCGAGGTGGAACGGCCAGCCCTTATGCCCTGCACAGTTGGAGATGCTGTTTTGTTAAAATTCCATTTCCTTTTGCATCTTTAATCAGCCTTACTTAGGTATCATTTATGCATAATAAAATGTTCCCATTTCAGTGTATATTTTGGTGAGCTTTGAAAGTTTTACACATCCCTGTTAACTGTCACCAAAACGGAGACGGGACATTCTCATCACCTAAAAAAGTCCCCTGGTGTCTCTTCCCACATTACCGCTGCCCCACCTTGACTCCTGGTCTCTGTCAACAACCAGCCTGCTCTCTGACACCGTAGGCTAGGTTTGCCTTATCAAGAGTTCCATAGAAAAGAAACTGCATAATGTGTGCACTCTTTTCTGACTCGACCTAATGTTTCTGAGACTCACCTGTGTGCTGTGTGTATCAACGATCCATTCCTTTTTATTGGTGAGTAACGTCCCAAGACGCGGCCGGACCGCCGTTCGCTTGCCCATTCTCCTGCGGAAGGACGTCTGGCTTGCTTCCAGGCTGGGCTGTTTGTGAACAAGGCGGCAGTGAGCACCCAAGTACAAGCACTGATGGGGACATGATGTTTCTTTCTCTCGGAGTTGGCAGGGCTGGATGGTTTTGCTGGGCCACGTGGCTAAGGACCCGTTTCACTTTATAAAACACACTGCCCCGCCATTTTTTGCACCGTCTTGCGTCCCCATCCACAGCGTGCACACGTTGCAACAGCCTCACATTCTCAGCCGCGCTTGTGGGGTCAGTCTTCTTTACGTTAACCGTTCTGCTGGGTGTGTAGTGTTGCTGCATTTGGTTTTAACTTCCGTTTCCATGGTGATTAGTGACAGTGAGTGTCTTTAAAGTATCTCCCGGCTGTTCATAAATCTCTCACGAAGCGCTTGCTCACGTCTTTTCTGATTTGTCGGTGGCGTGGCAGCGGGCGCTGTTCCTTCTTATTCTTAAACTGCGAGCGTCCTTGGTGTCCCTGGGACGCGCACCTTTGGTTAGGGAGGTGTTATAAATATGTTCTCCTGGTCTGCAACTTACCTTTCATTTTCTTACCATGCCTTTCAGCCCGAATTAAATTGTGAGTAGGCCCAATTTATCCCTGTTTGTCCTTTTATGGTTTGTACTTTTCTGTGTCCTGAGAAATCTTCGTTTATCCTGCAGCTGTGAAGTTTTCTCCTCTGTTTTCTTCTGAGTTTTATAGTTTCAGCTTTTACATTTTGGTCAGCGATCCATTTCAAGTTAGTTTTTGTGTATGCCCTGGGGAAAAAGCTGAGGTTTATTTTTCTTTTTAAAATGTAAAATTAATTTAATTTTAATTTTTGTGAGTGATGGCTGCAGAGGAGAACTTGACGCTGCCCATGCCGTGCTGGGTGGTGTGTGAGTGAGGCAGTGATGGCTCAGTGCCGCCCTTTGCAGTGTTTGAGTGGCAGCATTTGTACAGGAGCCCCGGGTGCTTTAGGTACCGTTCATGCCTGAGTGCTCTTAATTCAGTTCTCTTGATGATAGATGTTAGAGTGAAATACGAGCTCTAACTTTTTGTAGTAGGCAAATAACTTTTTTATCATAAAGAGCTTATCAAGCCCTTGCCTTAATAATAAACCTTTTTTCTTTCTCTTTTTAAAATATTTTTTCTTTTTCTTTTTCTTTTTCTTTTTTTTTTTTTGTTTTGGTTTTGGTTTTTTGGGGGGGGCGATAATTAGATGTATTTATTTACCTATTTGAATGGAGGCGCTGGGGACTGAGCCCAGGACCTCGTGCGTGCGTGCCAAGCACACGCTCTGCCGCTGAGCTCTCCCTGCCCCCCGCAAACAACTTTTCAGCGTGAAAAGCTACATCAAGCCCTGGCCTTGATAATAAACTTTGTAATTATTGCTTTATGTTGTTACTGACTAAATCCTGTGCTCTACTCAGACTTCACTCAGTTTCTCCCAACGAAGTCCCTTTTCTGTTCCAGGATCCAGTCCACACTCGGTCGCTAAACGCTCCCGGTCTTCTCTGGCCTGACGGGGTCTCAGACTTGCCTCGTTTGCCATGACCGAGGCAAATTCTGAGTCTGCAGAATGCGGCTCAGTGGGAGAGCACCTACGTGAGGTCCTGGGCTCAATCCCCAGCACCTCCACTTACAAAATAAATAAACCTAATTACCTCCCCCCGTCGCTAAATAAATAAATAAATAAATAATGAAATGAATAAATTCAAGGGAAAAAAAAGAGCTTGTAGGATGCCCCCCAGTCTGGGTCTGTCTGGTGCTTTTCTCACGATCAGCCTCAGAGTGTGGATTTTTGGAAGGAGAATACAGTGTTCGTGACACCCACACGAACCACAGACATCTTCACTGTCAAGTTACTCTTTTCCCCTTTCTTGCTCTGTTCTTGGGAAGCGAGTCCTTATGTCCAGCCTGCCTTCCAGTAAGGGAGAAAAGAATTGAGGTTCACTTTCTCTGTACAGATACCCATTTGTTCCAGCACCATTTGTTGAAAAAACAGTCTTTTCCCCATTGAATTATCACAGCACCTTTCTCCAAAAATCAGTTGACCACTTACATGTGAGTCTTTTTCTGGACCCGCTGTCATGTTCCATTAATACCCACACCTGTCCTTAAACCAGTGCCACACTGTCTTGGTTCCATAGTTCGTAGTTAAGTCTTGAAGTCAGGAAGTGCAAGTCTTTGGGTTTATTCTTTTCCAAAAATGTCTTACTTACTCCAGGCTCCTTTTACTTTCAAATAAATTTTAGAATCAGTCTGTCAGTTGCTACCCAAAAAAAGTCAGCTGGGATTTTGATTGAAATGATGTTAAATATATAGTACCCTTTGGGAAGAACTTCTGAATTAGGAACGTGGACTCTTCTGATTCGTGAATATGCTCTCCCTCGATTCATCTGGGTTTGCTTCAGCGTCCCTCACTGATGTGTTGTAGTTGTGGAGGTAAAGTTCTTGAATGTCTGTTGATAAATGTGTCACAATGTATTTCGTATTTTTTAATGCCATCGTCAATGGGTTTTTACAAAGTTTCCATTTCTGTTAGTCTTCAGTTTATAGAAATACAGCTGGCTTTTGTGTATTGACCCAGCTGAACTCACCTGTTAGATCCAGTACCTTTCTGTGGATTTCTGTAGATTTCCTGCGATTTCCTGCATAGAGAATAGAGAATTGCTTCTTCCTTTCAAATCTGATGCTTTCTGTTTCTTCTGTTTGTTTCCTTGCTTTATTGCCCTGCCCAGGATGCCCAGTACAGGAGAGGAATGGAAGGTGTGAGAGTGCAGGTTCTTGCTTTGTTCTCAGTGTCAGAGGGAGCGTGTGAAGGTTTTCAGCATCAGTTATGATGTCAGTGGAAGGGGTTTTTGGTAGGTGCCCTTTATCAGGTTGAAAGTTTATTTGGTTTTTTTAAAAATTTCTGTTCCTAACTTGCTGAGAGTTTTAATCACAGATCAGTGTTGAATTGTGTCAAATGCTTTTCTGCCTGCACTGAGGTCATCATTTTTTTTTCTCCTCTTTCCTGTTAGCAGTGAATTTTACTGATTGATTTTAAAACATTAAACTAAGCTTGCATTCCTGGTATCGTCTCCGTTTGGCCACGGCATATTTTCTGTTTGTTTTGGATTAAATTTGCAGCTGTTCTGTGAAGGATTCTTGCATCTGTATTAATGGAGAATATTGGTCCATAGTTTCAGTTCCTTATATTCATCTGGCCTCATAAAGTGAGCTGGGAAGTGTTTCGCCCTCCTCTGTGTTCCGAAGGGTTTGTGTAGGGCTGGCACTATTTCTACCCGAAGTGCTGGGTAGAATTCACTAGTGAATCCACCTGTGCTTGGAGTTCCTTTGTGGGAAGGTTTTAAATTATGAATTAGATTTAATAGGTGCATTCAGGTTTTCTGTTTATCTGGGAATTCGTTTTAGGAAGCTGTCTCCACGTCTCCTAAGTTTTATCTGAGAATTGGTTGGCATGATGTGATTTGAAATATGTCCTTGTCATCCTCCTTAGGTCCACAGACCTGCGGTGAAATCCCCCCTTTCACTCAAGACATCAGTCGTTTATGTCTCTCTCTTTTAAAGGTAATCAGTCTAACTAGAGATTTGTAAATTGGGTTGATTTTTTCCCCCAAAGAAATGGGTTTCATCGGTTTTCTCTGTTGTTTGTCTGCATCCTGTTTCATTGTTTTCTTCTCTTATTTCTACTCATCCAGATCTAATGTGCTTTTCTTTTTCTAGTTGCTAAAGGCAGAGACTTGGGTCCTTGATTTTAGATCTTTCATTTTTTCATATAATAATTTAATGCTTGAGTGGGGAGGGTATAGCTCAGTGGTAGAGCATGTGCCTAACATGCACAAGGTCTTGGGTTCAACCCCCAGTACCGCCATTAAAAATAAATATATAAATAAATAAATAAAAACCTGATTATCCTCCCTCCAAAAAAATAAAAAAATAAAATTAAAGCTAGAGATTCTCCTCTAAGCATACGTTATCTGTATCTCAAATTTCGATGTGTTGTGTTTTCATTTTTATTAAGCTTAAAATATTTTCTCACTTACCTCGTGGCTCCTTTTCTGGTCCATTTGTTACTTAGCAGTATATTACTTAGTTTTCAGATATTTGGGGATTTTCCAGTTATCTTTCTGTTGTTTATTTCTGTTCATCCCATTGTGACTGTGTAACTTCAGTCTTCGTCGATTCATTAGGATGCATGGTACATATCCTGGCAGCTGCTCTGCGCGCTCCTAAAA